CTCTACAAGGGCGTGAGGTTCGCTCCCCGATTGGTGCGGAATAAAATCTGCCCCCAGAGCTCCAATAATTCGGCCATTTCATTTCCATTCGGGCTAGAGATCCATACGTCGAAACATGACTACAAGACGTCGAGTGCGGCGCTTTGACGCGAAAACCACCCGTTTCTCCCGCCCTGATGGACTGGACCGTCATTCAGGATTCATCCGTCAACTCGCTCTCGGGTTGAGTGCGGGGCCCGAGCCGCAAGCCATTCTTGAGCTGAGTATGATCTCTTGCGTCGAGTGATAAACACGCTCTTCTACAGAGCCGTTGCTTTCGGTCGCCAGTCGTTGCACGACCGCTCGACAAGCAACATGTGGTTCGGTGAGTAAGAACAATCTATACTTTCTGAACTGGTTCTCTCAGAGGAACCGCTGCACAAGCCCAGCTCAAATCCCCGTGCGAATTCTTCTTGGATCATCTGCCAGACAGATTTCCTGGCCAGACATCTGGGAATTTTCTCCATTGAAGGTTATGCACACGAAGCCTTGACCGCGAAAGCATTGGAATTGAGGCACTCGGCACGATGCGTTTTCTTCATCGTCTATTCCGCATTATTCGTCGACAACATACTCTTGACTGCGGCGGGTGAGTAGACGCTACTGGCTTCCGATCTTTTGCTTATGCAACGCGAGGAATCCCATCGCCTCCTGGTCTAGATTCTAGATCCTCTGCCGACGACCCAACGTCTGAACCCCGATCCAGTCCCTGGGGCCGCTTCCATGAGGCTCAATGAGATCCGAGCTGTGAAGTTTCGCGGCTGCTCTTGATTGGATCGTGGGCTCAGCGCGGCTTTCGACGGATTTCTCCAACATATTCGCCGGAATTGTGCGGATCGAATCCTTACCGATTTCTGTTGGCGCAATTCGTATGAGTTCTGACGTCCTGGAGCGTCATTCCTGGGTTCTGAGATCGACGTGACTTCAGGAGCTCCCGCTGATGAGGAACGCCAACATTTCGGCATGATGATCGTACTTGCGGCGTATGCGGAAGCCTTCATGTGCAAGGTGCTAAGCGAGCCTCGACCCGGGAGGGTCCCGGTGTGGTGTAGGTACCTTCGCGACTGGACACGATCCAGAGGAGCTGTATTTATTGGGCCAATCTTGTTCGCTGAAATATCGGAATCGAATCAAAGAAAATGATGTCAGATATTGCATCTCCGGGGCTCCTCGAGCAAACCGATTGCAAATCGTTGCGGGGGGGGGGAATTCCAACACTCCGCGGCCTTCCAAGATGAATCTAAGAAATGTTGTCCTCATGGAGAGAGCCAGACAAAGAAGTCACCTTTTCTGATACGAGATCCTAGGGATCTTACATTCCTTACGAGTGTCCAGTCGCCCCTACATAATCGCGCTTTCACCGTGCTCAGCTCGCTGAAACCGCAACCGTACCGCGACCATTTATTTTCTCTGACGACGATCCTGGTGTGCAGCTTCCGTTGTCTCCGGGTCGGGCAGAAAAAGCCGCGCTCCCTTCTGAACTTCGGAGTTGGGGTCAATCGCACCTCTCTCCGGAAAAAGGTCACTCGATCAGGTCCCCATACATAAACCTGCGCTAGCGTCCAAAGTAGCGGAGCCACTTTTGAGTCAAAGGCCCGCGACTATATCTAGGTGAATATATGATAACACGCTCTTGACATGGTCTCAATTCGGTTTTCGATCCGCCAACTCGTTCCGTACCGAGCTCGCTGTACCTCACTATGACAGAAAAAGTTCTCTCTGACTCCCATCATGGAGAAAGTCTTCTCGCACGACGATATTCAATGATGCTCAACAGCTGACTTTTATGAGCGACCGGGATCGATTCTCTTGCTGCAGAGATCCCGGAGAGCCTGGACGCTACTTCTAGCTCAGCAGCTTCCTTGGCTCCTTGTTCCGGTCTTAATGCGATTCGGCAAGTCCAGGGCGATATTGTGCCCTCTAGAGGCCCGCAACCGGCTGACTGAGTGTCGACCGAACTTCATCCTTTGTGGAAGATCTACTCAGCGACTCGCAAGACATCATTCAGAGTTCGTAGGGGCATTCTAGAGTCAATTGACAGAGTTAGACTATTCTCTCCGAAGTTCGGCTCGATAAAAAGCTTCGAACCGTTCAGGCGGATTTGGTTCAGGGCGGAGTTTCCGCTGATTCCGACAGAGAAACAATCTCCGGCGGCTCATGAAAGGCCAAGCGAGAGCTGCACCTCTCGATACGTTGCGCGTTGTCATCACGAGTCGGAATTCTCTTCGAGCTAGCGCATCAAGGAGCCTGCCTTTTGACAAGATCACGTTCCTATCCAGTCAATGAAGGCATTCTTCTGGGGATTCCTCTGAATTCGATTTGCTCGAAGCTCTATCGGCGGCTAGTGGGAATCATTCCGGGCGTCGTAATTAGGATTCGGCATTCGCCACCGCATGGGAAATCATCAGAAGCCGTCGCCTTCCGGGGTCTGCACGGCTTCGCGCGGTGAGGATCCGATGTACAGCTCTTCCAGGGCTAGGTAATCTTAGAAACTTGTCTCCAGCTGGCTGGATGAATAAATAATTTGAGGAGACCCGGTTATCGAGGCAGAATTCGCCGACATTTGCGCCTGATCGAGGTCTCTGATCCGGAGATTTCATCTCACCAGCCGAGGGGGGGGCGAGGAGAAGTCCCTCTCTTCACCCTCCGGCTCAGATCCAAACAGACTGGCGGAAAAAAATTGCGAAAGTCAGTGGGAGACAAGGCATTTCCCCTAGTCGTTTGAAGGATGTTTTTGGCACGGAGGATGGAGAAATGACCTGATAAGGGTGTCCTCTCGATGCTTTTCCGAAATGCGTGCGACCGGTTTCGCTATGTGCCGCCAGCTGCGATTGGCTGGGCTGTGACGGAGTGTAGGCTGGAGGCTGTACATTAACCATCGACATTCGACACGCGAGAGATCGTATACAGATCGGAAAGAATCGCGGAGCAACACGCTTGCACGGTAACAGAGCGAGGCAGACGGAAATTCAGCGTAAAACTTCATACCAGATCCGGGCGATCCAGGGGACTCAATCACATGTCATACGAGAATTTCTCTATCGCTGTTACGATCGTCGAGCCCGTGATCCCACTCCCGGTCCCTCGATCGATAGTGTCTTCGGTGATTTCGACCATCTTCACGCTCCGGAGAAACTCCTCATGCCCTAGGAGGTCCCCGCGCCAGATGGGGAGGCCCTCCCTCTTCTATCCTGGAGCCCCTTGCCCAGACTTCAGAATCTCTCCTCTTGTATGCGGAGGAACTTCGCGGGAATACTGAATTAGGCATCTCGATCAATGTTCCCACGGAACTTGAGACCCCTCCATTTATCCCGGTAAGATACGCGCATCGACGGTAATGAAGGTGTCGCATTCCGCGTCGCGAGTCTTCCGGATTCTCTCCCGAAACTTCTTCCAATACCTTCGCAGTCGCATATTGTTCTGTCTTGGTCTTAATTGCCTCCTCAAATATCAATTAAAACGAGCTTACTCGGCTCTGACGACGCCGACGGCTCTCCGAAGTCCTTCCTGCCGAGCTGCCCGAAACTTTTTCTTTTTGTTCACGTTTCGAGTTTCTCAGAGTTCACTCTGAATCCGACCGGAACTTCACTTCGTTATACGCGTCTCTTTCTGACGCAATGAGCTTCTGAATTTAGAGATTCCGCGGGTATGTCGAGTTCCCGCGCAACTCTCGACTCCGATGGGGATCGATGCATCACCGCTCTGTGTTCGTGGATACGCACGTGGGAAGCGTCCCATATCAGACGGTGGTTTCCGGCTGACTCTGTCGGCCACATTTCTTGAGCGAAATCGATGCTGAGTATCACCCGTCGACCACCACCCTCAACAGTCCTTACACCTACGCTTTCCGCTCATGTATACGTGTATCATTTTGAATGTACATGTTCACGTCATTCCGTACAAATAGATCGGAATCTTGTAACGGTCCTCGCATCGACAAAAAGCGGATGGATGATTTTCGTGGCCGCCTTAATGACGGAATCTCAGCCCCAATGGGAACACTGCGAGATGTCGTCGGTGTTCCGTGATCCTGAGAGGGTTCAACGAAAGGGGGAGAAGATAGAGATCAAGATCTGCGCAATCGGTCATTCGCAAAAGCGAGCGGAAATAACTCTGCCTTAGAACTCCGTGTCGCTCAATGGCGCATCGGGTGACTGCCATGGAGCACCTATCGGCCCTCCGGCAAAGCCGCGCAAAAATTATCGGTCGAACTTTAATACTCGTCTTGTTATTCCGCAGTGCCTGTGCTTCCGGACCTTCTCCGTCAAATCCAGGGAAACGACGATACCGACGGGACCGCTCCGGCCCGATCGCTTCAAGAGGCCAAAGTCGTTCTGGTCAACGGGTCTTTCGGCTTGAATCGAATCTCGGAATCGGTTGTGGAAGCTCACGGCGCCAGCGCCGCGTACATTTTTGCTTTGAAAGCTTTCGTGCAGCTGGTCGCGACGCCGTTCGTGGGCCTCGTCGTAACGAAACACGGCCATCGAAAAGTTTTAACGTGGGCTGTTTATCTCCTCTTTTCAGCGTGTCTGGGTAAATGTTTCGTGTTTGATCCCCTGTCGATTTAGAATATCCTCACACTGACAATATCTGCCATCGACGCGTTTGTTTCCACAGTTCTCTGCTGGGCGGAATCTCTGTGGTCGATAATCGCATCTAAAATCCTGCATGGCCTGGCATCAGCAGGTGTGGCTATATCAGGTTCGTGGCTTGACGCAACTAATAATCATCGAGCGAACACGACGCGAGCTCCAAAGATGAACCCCTTCCTGAGGGGGATGAAATTTAATCGCGGCCTCGGAGCGGAACATCCGCGGGGAATTCACCGAGGAATACCGTCGGATTGACTGATCTGACTTTCCTTCCAGTGATGGCTAGAATTACTATATATCGACGCGGTTTCTTTTCCAGGTCTGAGTTCCATCGCTGAGAGCTATTCAGAAAACGAGGCCTTACGAACAAAGATAATTGGCAGGAGTATGGGCGCTGTAGCGCTCGGTGTTCTCGGTATGAAATAATATTTTGTCCGCCTTATATCTATTCGAGCGTGTAATCATGAGTGGATGGATGAAACCGCTCCGGGATGTGGCTGAATAGATTCCCTTTGTGACTGTAACTTTCTTTGCCTCTACAGTCGGATATCCGTTCGGTGGGATAGTTTATGACCTGTGGGGGAAGGATGCTGTATTCATCGCTATCCTCGTCATGATCATGCCGGTCGTGGGTAAGACTGCTCAATTCGACTTCTGGAAAATAAAATTCTCGGAGGACACGTTCCGATAAGGGGGCCTAAATTGTGGAATGCAGTTCATCTTTTTGTTCCAAGTCGTCGTCATGATATCCGCCTACAACGATCACGAGGATTACGAGAAACTCGAGGCGAGTAAACCATGGTCCCGATCTCTTCTTCATATTTCCGACGGCTCCATTCCTAGGAATGCAATGAATCCCGTGGGGATAGTTTCCGGTGGATAAGGAAAATCATCCGATATCTATGAAGCGCCCGATGAGATCTAAGTGAATAGCTTTCGGCAAAGAAAATATAGCTCGCAAGGAGCCGAGACCGGAAACGGTTCCGTCACATGATCTGCATGGCGGGCACGGCCCACTTGTCTCCGTTGATTCGATTATACGTTTTACGCTGGTGCCCCGTAGTCTTGCATACAATGCAATCCGAATCAATTATTCAATTATCCATAGCTCTATTCCGACCGAGATCGCACCGACCCTGCGGATCAAAACACTGGCTGTACATGAAGCATATTATTACGCGGACGGACCCTCCCCGATGGAAACCAGAAGTCGCCCGACGTTCTGATGGGTGTGATAACTTTGATGAGCATCGCTTTCTTGCGGGACAAACTCAATCCGGGTGTCCCTGTTTCCCCGTATTTCCCGTCCTTCGTCAATTAGATCCTCATGCTCCGCGGAGCGTTTGAATGGGAATCGAACGTTGAAAATCGAGAATCGAGAAAGGACTCCCAACGGGAAAAACATTCGTTGCTGGACAAGCCAGAAGAGTTTTCTGCGTCTGTTTGTCGTTTCGACTCCTGGGAGAGCCTACTGTGAATATAAAACGCAATGAGAGCACGAAGCTCATAGCCTGAGGGCGTGTGTTATATTTCCCTATGGTCCGGCGCCCGAACAGGAGATGCCTCGAACGGAGCTCTACACCGAAGTTGTAGGCCAGGCCTGATCGACGCTGCGCAGGTCGAGTGGACGCTGAATTCACCAGTTTTCTTGTTCCAAGTGTTTCAGGAACTTGCATGTTTCTCCCGGGCCTGCGAATCGAGTTTTCCCAATTTTCCGGACCATAATGAAAGTTTCGAAAACGATGCGCGAATCGGGCCTCTCAACGAGCGCTATCGGCGCAAAGCTCCGGTCATTGCCTTCCAAAACATTGGACGCGGCGCAGCATGATTCCGGAGGCTTTTCAGACTCCTGTGTGCTCATTTATTAGTATTCTTTGAGCCGCCATGCAGTTCAGCTTGCCCGCGCTTCGTTGGGAGCTATTCACATCTTCGCTGCACCGATCAATCCATTCACCACTTTTGAACGTTTTTCTCCCGTTGAGCGGAGCGGGAGATTATTGGGACACTTCCCGCGGAATGCTTGCTATCAGGATGCATCATAATTCTATTCATGGGATGATTTGAGCGATTTTGAGCACTCACAATAGAGCCAGGCGCTCCCGTTCTCGGGAAAAGACCGAACGCCGCCTCATCAGTTCCTGGAGTATTTCCCGTCTCCTATCACTCTGAAACTCTCTACACACCGGAAACTTGCGCGATACAGGCTAGATATTGGATATTTGCGTCTGAGCCTAGACTTGCTTAGCGGTCGTTGTGCCTTCCCCAGGAATCGGATCACGGCGCCAGTGTTAGAGGAATCACGGAAATGCTGACGGAACCCGTCGTCATAATCGCAACCGGTTGGCGACTTGTTCTCGTTCTCTAAAGTTTATTGCCCCATGGAAGTATATCCAGGCTGAGCTGTCTCCGATGATCAAAGAATTGATTTCAGGCGCTACGCTCCTCTCATCAGCCTCGATCGCGATTCTAGAGCCCACGCTTCCAATCTGGCTGATCGACACATTCAATCCGCCGCGTTGGCAAATCGGTTGGTATCCGGATACCCCCCGAAGTTCGATATTCGCCTCGAGAGAGTCACTGTCAAGAGCGCCTTTTCAGGGACGGTGTTCCTACCCGATAGCATAGGATACTTCGTTGGAACTCATTTCTTCACCCATGTCACACGTCATTTATCCAGGTGAATATCAACTCGACATTTTCCGGTCGCTTGCTTTTAATCACGCTAGATTCGGATCATTGAAATTCAAGTCGATTTCTCGACGAGGGCTTTCAATAATTCTCTGAGAGCGCCGCAGCGAAAGACCGTGGAGCGCTGCGAGAGTTGATATTCCTCCGGCTCCTCGAACATTCTTATCTCATGGGTTGGAGAATGACAGGGCCTCCGCTCAATTCGCTATCAACGGAAATCTGGCCTCTGAGACTCCGCAAATTCGGAACTCATTGGAGGTCGGCGGATCGGCGCGACGGCGAGCCGCGTGATGATTCCAGCGATCTCGAGCCTCCAACGGTTTTTCTGAGGATTTTGCCCGAAATCATACGGAGAATTCCCAAGCCCGACCAAGAAGTATCCGAAGAAGAAGATCCGGGCTCATCTCAAGGAATCGTTCCTCCAGCCTCCTGGGCGTAGTACGTTGTATTCCGGAGAGCGTGCAACTGGTCGCTGAATCTCAGTTCATTCCATTTCAGAGCTGTTTCGATGTTCACCGCTGTATTTTCTATCGGGATCGCACTGTTTTTCGTACGTATCGGCTCTTACCTCTTCTCGTTCGTGAATTCCTAGTCGCACCGTATTCGAAGCGCGTCTCGTCGGGATGGAGCGATTCTCCATCAAATCATCTCTGGAATCGACCGGGGCCTGTACCCAACCTTGGATTATTTGATCTCACCGGGAGAGCGTTCGTGATTCATCTCGAGAACCTCACGGCCCCCTCCCGAGCACTTGAGGAGCTCAGGGGCTTTCTCGAGACGATTCCATATCCTTACCATCATTCTCGTTTTGATATCGGGTGCAGCAGCCCGTGCTCTCGACGAGAGGCTTCATCACTAGCCGAACAAATCGAGGACGACGAGTGCCTTTTTCGGCATGCACGATACGGATCGATTTTATGATCTTTGAATGACGTTTTGAGAGTATTTCCTCTCTCATGATTTCCCTATCTCAACCGCCTGGAAGGAGCCCGGTTTGCTCGAAGCCACCGAAAGATAACCGAGAAAATCGCGGAATAGTTACCTACGAAGATAAAAGAAAGAGAGTAAGGAAACGAGTTTAAATCCCAGGGCAGGGAAGTCGGTTGGTGGTACCGTGCGAATTTCACGGACAGTGAGCGAGCGAAGCTCGCTGAGAGAATGGGTGACGGGAATCCTGAGCGAGTGCTCGGAAAAGTGGTGCGCCCACCGACCGCCTGCTCGTTCAGGCGGTCGCAAATCCTTTCTCAGTGATGACATATTCAACAGCGACACTCCCGAAGGAAATGAAATAAGATTTTCGGGTCTTCGTCCACCGGGCTAGATCATTCTCTCGTTCCGAGCCGAGTTTGTTAGCTCCATGCTAAGTGGACGACATCCACGTTGGAATGTATTGTCGGAAGGATCCTAATCTGATTTGAAACCTACTCCGAGTCAGCCTGTGGGTAATTTCGTAGCTAGACCCACGACCCGGCTGGTCCGTCTTCGCATGCTTTTATTCTACCCCAGAACGGCAGTGGAGAAAAAACCTTACGCATTCCCCCTACACCATACGTTGGGACGGGCGATGATTCGAGAGCTCTGGCTATTTTCAGATTCCACGCGTATCCAGCTTGCCTCAACTAATCGTACCGCATTTCATCATAGGTCTGGGTGTCGGTGAGTAATGGGATGCTCGGTGAGATGGGCGATCGTCCTTGCGAAGGTGAACCTTGACCTTACGTCATTTACGTAGCGCTTCGTATGAGTTGCGGAGGGTCCTGTCAAGCATCCCGTTCTTATTTTGGCAAAGCCTCGATATCCGTCTCCTTGCTCGGTCATATTATTTCTCGTTCATATCGAAGCCGTCGCTCTCCTTCCCCAAGGACCCCAAGGAGCACGAAAACCTCTATATTGTGCGTCTCTCAACACGATCCGGGCTCGTATGGTGGGATGGTTCGGTTTGCTCCTCCTCCCGGACGTATTATAGACGCCACGCTTTTGTCCTCTTGGGACGGTCAGGAAAAAACGTTCATTGACCGATACCATTCGGCCCGAATCGTTGATCGGTATCAATCTTCAGGCTGTACGGATGTTTCGGTATTGTCGCTGTTGGCTTCATTCGGCGATATCTGGTATCGGGAATGGTGTTATTCGATGATATACGCTCTGAACCAGGCGGCGGTTTGCGCAGCCTATTCTCTCGGTAAGTTTTGACAGCTGCGAGTCCAAACTTGAGATGCGCACCTATATCAATGACGTCAGAGTTCTCGCGACAGCCATCGCCTTCACGCTCCTAGACGTGCATGGTCCTGGGGAGTACTAAGCGAATACTTTGCAGGTCCCGCTTGGGCGGGCGTCTCGGTTTCGCACTTCGGATTTCCTGCCACGATGACAACGTTGTCAGTGGTGAACATTATCTACGCCCCGTTCACCCTGGCGCTCCGTCCCCTGGAAAGAGCCCTCACAAGGGTAGGTTTTCGGGATCCTAACGGGGTTATGATTTCGAAGACGTATCTTCGAATCAACTGAATCGATGGTCGCTCATTGACTCAATCGTCATTGATCGCATTGCCGCAATCGACAATTGTGAGTGCGCGGGGGAAGACGGGACCGAAGATTCAATTCAGCATCTTGACTCTGCCCTCGGCAAGATCTCGGGGCTGGGACGACTTTGGATAGAGCTCATTTTGCAGGATGATTCCGGAGATTTGTTCTCGATTCCGACAAGTACCAGTCTCACGCTGGTAAACCTGTTCCGAATAATTCACAGGTACACGCCAAAATGGAGTCGCGTTTCGCGGACGAGTAGAGTACCAACCGGATACGCAACCATGAATCTCTCTCGAAAGCATGCTAGACTTCAGAATTCAAATAAATGGACCGTATGAAAATATGGTCCGCTCCGCTCGAATGTCAGAACCAAGGGACTCTGTCACGGATGAGTTATTTCCCTGCGGTTGCTATTCATAATTCACCTCCACCGTTTTCCTGATATTCAATCGATTCTGAGCCACTGCAGCCGCAGATTTCATGTCCATGAATCACGCGCGATCGTCTCTCCGTCCCCCGCTTCGTCGGTGCACATCTGAGCGGCTACGCTTGGAGAGCGCCTGAGGATGCCGATTCGAGTTGCTAGGCCTCATCCTAATTGCGGCAACTATGAGCCTCCGTATCCATTAGTGGCGGACGATCCTACCGATTATAGACGGGTGGGCCAGGAGCTATAGAAGTCACTGAGTAGCACCGAGGAGAAAATGAGGAGAGAGAGAAAAACTGCGCAAACTGATTCTGCTCAGGGTTCTGGACCAGATTGCGACCAACAGTTGGGAGCCGGCTGGCCTCATACGTGACGAGACTCTTTGATTCACGGAGTCGCCGTCACGGGGGGCCTGAATCTCGCTGCAAAGGGTAACGCGTCTAGCGAAGCCGTCTACTGAACTTGCCGGTCGACTCTCTTTCGATCAAAGACGAGGCAGCCGGGGTGTAGGTGTGAGATCCGAAGCGATCGGAAACAGGAGTATATGTATCGAAGAGAATTACCGACTATTTGCCGGAATGGAGGAATGTCTCAAGACGATACGGAGGAGCAAGAACAAATGATGATACGAGTCGTTTGCATCGATGACGTAACTCTGGCTCCGTCAGTGCGAGGCGGGGTCCGTATTCATGCACACGATCTGCGACAGACGGAAGTGTGCTTATTCTCTCAGCTGTGAAGCTTATTCGGCTGAGTCGCAGCATCGATTCGGTTCATTGATCAAGCAGTGCTTTCTAATATCCCTTGTCTCTTCGACTCATGCCTAGATCTTGTATAAGCGACGGACACTCTTGGAGGCACCTCAATAACGCGTCGGCGAAGAAGAGATCAATTATTATGGTCAACGGAAACAGTATCGAATCAGTCGAATAAAGCCCTACCATTGATTGACACTGCTGGTTTCGCTACAATCATTGATCACGTTTATTTATATTCATCATCACATCGTCCCTGACCTCCCGTAGGGTACAGAACAGACCCTCAGGATGATTACCGGACCTGAGAGGATACCTCTACTAGTATTCCAGGAAGGCGTTGCGAAACGAGGTCTGTTTACTCGCGCCCACTCGTCTGCCCACAAGCTCGCAAGCCGGTCTGCGATCCGACGGTGCGCTTTCGCGATAATGGTCGCCTTATCAGCGCGTCTCGGTGCATCGGACACGTTCTGTGTCTGTTCGGATGGGACAGGATTAGCATTAATCTAGGTCGAGCAATGCTACGATGCGTAAGCGAGTATTCGGCTGGGTCAAAAGTGTCCCAATTCCTCCTCGAGGAGCCCCCTTCGGAATCTCGACCCGTAGCACGGTGCTCAGCACGCGGAACTCTTCTGGGCGGCGATTTGTCTGAAGGGATTTCGCATTCGAGGTCTAGCTTCCGATGCTAGCATCGCGTGCCCTCACCGTACTCCCTCCGCTCCTCGCTCGTATAGAGCACGTCGGCGGTACTCCTAGCTTGGAGAGATGAACTCGAGAAACGAGGAGTGGTATCTGCGGTAAGGCCCGAGCCTTACTGGCGACAGATCGTTGAATCTATGTATGTATGTAAACACAATACAGGTATGCGTCGATGATTTCGACGACGTGAATGTGAATTCCACGGCACCCATCCTTTTTCCGACGGATTCACTCGACTCTGACGTTCGCCAGCGACGTGTGAACCCCTGAATCACTCAGCGTCCTCTGCGGAGATAGCAGCCCAGATGTCGTTCATGCCTGAAGTACAGAAGAGGCTCATAGGCAATTCCGTGTCACGACCGTGATGATGCTCTGCTTAATGTGGGGTGCCTGCAAGCCTACCTTTCATCTGGCAGGATAACGAAATGCTGTTGGCAAAAGACGAAAAACCTTATCGCGCCAATCACAAAAGCATCGTGGCATGAAAATGTCGCCCCAAATTCTGTCGATGGATTGACAGCGGGCTGACCTTGAGGCGAGCCTGCAGAGTTCCCTAAAAATAGATTATTCCACATCAGACAACGCACCAGCAAATGTCCCCTGTTCCGTTGTAATAGATTTTTTCCCTTGCGATGGCTCGCGTTTCTGCTGGCCGAATGCGGCGGATGTGCCCACCACTTTGTAACGATAAGACCGCAACTTCGATACTTCATCATAAAGCCTCCGACCACTATTGGGCGATATCGATGCTTGGAATCTTCAGAGCACAGTCCGCATTCGGTCGCTCTTTCTCAATACCTCTGGGGACCTAGCCGATGCACTTTGTCGGAATTCTCAATTTCGTCTTCGCGCTCTCTGTGAGTCTTCGCCGATGCCTTCCCGGTCCGAAGTCGATTCGCGAGGACCACTCAGTCAGCCGCACTGACTAGACATATATCTCAAAAGAGTTCCTAGCGCGGCAGGATGCTCTAGACTCTAGAGCCTTGTCGAGACAGAGGTCGAAAGTCTCTCCTCCACCCAGAGGCTGATGACTCAGAGTGGTTCCATGAAGAATTCCGCTAAATTCCTCATCGCCGTCGCGACGTCATTTGAGCCAAAGTGTGGGTCAGTCCACTGATCTTCATAAATTTTTCCAAAGCTCCACCCCCTGCCCCTTTGCCGGCAGACAGAGCACGATCCGTAGAGCTGCAGCTCGATTCTGGGAAAAAGGAGAAGGTCTCCATCTACTGGAATCGATCTGTCCCTCATTGGATGTCATCTGTCCGGAAATTCTTCTTTCGATTCCGATTGAGTGTCCCGGAAGAGAACGGAGAACCTGTTTTCTTATCATTCTAACTCGCAGCCTCAGTAAGTAAGCGAAAGCAGTCAGGCTCAACTATACTGGAAGGGCCCGCAGACCGGAGACCATTACCTGGCAGAGCAATCGATTATGTCAGAACGGATCTGCCTCGCCGCTGTATCTACTCCAGTTTTCTTCCTATTGAAGGAGTCTGAGTTCCTGTGGAAAATTTTATTTCCCTTGCTCGTAGAGCTCCGATGATTATCCGAATGCAGATTCGGAACATTCGGCCCGGCTGCAGCCGACGTCTCCGTGAAGTAGGATCTTCGTCTGACCGACTTTTCCCTTTGGTTCTCCTCACAGGTATCGCGACGCGAAACAAATCACAGCGATCTATTCTGTGACTGATGGTTCCTGGATATTCGAGTGGAAGGAGGTCGTCGCATCCTTCTATGGGTCACTCGGTGCATGACGGGTCGAGACGCGTATGGGGCCAGTAGGTATTATAGAACGACGAAACTCCACATGAATAATTCGTGAAGAAACCAGAGGAATCACGGAGGCGGCGCGATCGGTGCCTTCGCTCGTCGAGATAATCAATCATAGGGGCGAGCCAATGGAAATTGATGGTGTCCCTTGTTTCATGGAACCTGGTCACGAAAGCGTCGGGAAGAGTCACACTAAAATAATTGAGCGCGATGTCTGCCCGAATAATTCAGGCGCGGTCCGGAAAATTTTCGAGGAATTGAAAATGGACACGGACTTGATAGAATACGGGAGAGCCCAATCAGCTCGACGACATCGGGTAATTTCATGTATCGTGATCGATTCCACTAGATGGGCACCAATCATCAAAATGTCCATTAGAGTCGGAACTCCTACAACTCTCTTCCACCGTCTTTGACGTCTATCCCCAATTGATTGGATGGGCATTATTTGTGCTTTGGTATAAGGATGCAAAGTTCGCATCGATTCTCGATCGGAGCAACATCGCTTCCGCTGAATACTATGTTCAAGCCTTGGAAGGAAGTGAGCTGTCATCATCAGTGAGCGTTGGGAAGCGACGAGTTATTTTAGAAGCTCGCCAGCCTCGAGTCGTCGATAATAATCTATTCCAGTCCTGCTCACAATCGTTTCGCCGCAAACTCACGCAGGGCAATGCCGGATTCTAGAATAAGCGTACAAGAGAATAAATCATAAGCGCCTTCAAGCATGGAAATAACTGAATGAGAGTTCATCGGGCATCGTTCGGAACCATTGAACAACGCGATGCCATTTAGAGGCTTCCGTTTCATCGAGGTTTCGATCAGATTTCGAACTTTCGATGTTGAATTATTCAGCGAGCCTCGAGCGGGGCAAGGAAGAGGACGTTTCTATCGATGGATGCTGGATTAGTTATTCCCCGGCCCAGACTGTACACTGATTAGCCTACGCCTAACCGACGGGCAGGTGTTTTGTAGGTTGACAGCTCCCTCGGCTGGCTAGGTCGTTGCTTCCTTCGTTCGCACTTGTGTACGCCCAGGTTGAGTTTGCTGCAAATGGAGACAGATAGCGCAAACTTACCGCGACCGGAGCTAAAAACGTCTCCCGTAACGATGGGCGTGCTTGGCGATGGAACGTCAAGCGGTCGGGCTCGGGCTCTGCGGATCGGTCGTTTCTCTAGACAACAAAAATATTCGCAGAGCATCGATTCGTCACCGAAAGCACTTTGGTGTGAGAAATCGCGTCCCCGCACCGAGGGACTAGGTTGTCGCAGGGGAACTGCTTGACGAGAACTTCTCCCACCGGAGGCGGATTCCTCGGATTTTTTCGGTATCAGTCAAGGATCACGTAACTTGGGTGCCCATGAGCCATTCGCGGCCACTTACCGCTCCATCTTTGTTTTTCTTCACCGTGTCCCTCCCAAAGATTAATCGTGGAGGGGCTCATTCTGTCGCCCATCATCGAAGATCGGCTGAAGCTTCGTCTATACATAAAATAATAATTTATCGACATCGATCCCTGCTCGATACGTAGTCACGCATTACCGGGTACCGCGCGACATTGTGTACTCACGGAGCGCGTTCTCGTAGAGATTGGTAGTTTCCGGTAAGTGCTTG